GTGGATACTTATCTGGGGTATGCTAATCAGCTTTCTGTCATTGTAACAAAACATCTGAGAAAATAAACTTAGAGGGAGAAAGAATTGGGCCGGGTATTTAGCTCAGTGGCACCATGCCTGCCTGGCAAGCGCAAGGTCCTGAGTTCTATCCCCACTACCCCCAAAAGGGGGGGGGGGATTATTTTGACTCACAGTTTCAGTGGCTTTAGTCTGTGGCCACTTGGCTCCATTGTTTTTGGGCCTGTGGTGAAGCAAAACATTATAGCTGATAACACATTGTGGAGCAAAGCTGCTCACCTCATGGTGGCCAAGAATCAAAGAGAGGAAGGGGCAGGGGTCCCAATATACCCTTCAAACGCACACACCCAGTGACCTAATTCCTCTAAGTAGGCCCTACCTTTTAACGTTTCCACCACCTCCCAATAGTGGCAATAGCTGGGAACCATGCCTTCAATACAAGAGACTTTGGGAATATTCCAGATACAAACTATAATACTTGATAACCAGAATACATGTTTCCCTGGGTGGCCATCATCACTTTGCCTGGAATAAATTCTTTGTTTCCATTTTTGTTGTGCTTTGACTTGAATTTTAGGTTGATGGGTTATATAAGAAAGGCATCCAACAGAGCTTGGGAATGGGGTAGCTCAGATGGGATGAGGATCTACTCAGAGGTCTTCCACTAAGTACTTAGGTTTGAGTCTTAATCAATGAGAAGATAACCACAAGAAGTATGTTTGGGAAACAGTACAGTGTGTGTAAGTTCATGGGAGCATAGGATGTGAATGAGATAAAGGCTAAAAGTCAAAAAGTAAAGATCTCTAAATTATTCTTATGTAACACTCATGTCAGAAAAAGCAGTGACTTTTCTCTCTAGTAAAATTTTAAGCTTCTTGAAGTGAAGCAGTACAGATAGATATCTTTTGTCTTTGTATCCCCAGCATCGGTTTAAAGCCTACAACACAGCACACACTTAATAAAGGATTGATAAATTAATGAGTGAAGGACAAGGAGAGAAGTTGCTTCTGGTTTCCCTCCTCCTCCTACATTATTTGTTCCATATTCCTCCTGAAGCACACAGCTCATGCCTCAAAGTCACACCTCCTACACACACACCTGAAAAAATCCTGAGATGCCACCTGGCTTCCACCCTACCACATTCTGGATGTAACTGATCCAGGGCAGAATCATGACAAGAGTGAGAGAAAGGAAGTAGGTGATAGATGTTCTGTCCCCTGTACCAGTACTTCTGTCCTGCCTGGGCCAGAACATCTGGCTAGTCCTCCTTCACCATCCTTGGGAGTCAAGCCGGAGAGAATATATCCTTGGAGATACTGCAGTGCAAAAGCTTCTGTTTGCATCCCTGGTGTAAGTTGTTTCCTAAGCAATTCAGCTTGGTCTTCCAGACCAAGATGTACCCTGGAAACTGATTAATGCACTGAGGTCCAAAGGCCCAAGAACTCAGTGGCCAGCCAGTCTTGGGTAGTCTCTGACCCTCTATAGACTAAGAACATTTGATGGAGAATGGAGAATATCATACACAATAAACTGCACAATAAATATTGCTATGAGCATAGTTTGTTCCCCTCCCTTGAAATGAAGGATGAACTGATGATAATAACAGTGTAATAAGGATACTAACTACCTCTTGCCAATGGACAAAACCATAGTAATGTATTTTATCATTATTTTATTTTATTTTTGAGAGAAGAGTCTCACTCTGTAATTTAGGCTGGCCTTGAACTCACTATGTAGCCCAGGCTGGCCTCGAACTTACTGCAATCCTCCTGCCTTGGCCTCCCAAGTGCTAGGATTACAGGCGTGCACCTTCATGCCTGGCTTAGCAGTATTTTAATTATCTTAATTGGCTTTATTTTTAATTCTAGAATTGCTCAGCACTTCATTCCATAAAACAGAATAGTGTTCCAATGGGCTAAAAGGAGGTTGGTTCTGCAGACAGAACGGCTTAAAGAAAGCAGAAACAAAAAGTATGTCGATCATTTAAAAGATAATTTCTTTGTTAAATGGGGACAAGGATACAGAACAAAAGAAATTTTATAGTCAGTATCACATTACTTTTATTTTTTTCTGTAGTATGAAGGATTAAACTTGGGGCATACAGCATGCTAGGCAAGTACTCTATGCTGAACTACATAGCCCTTCTTTTGTGGCATGGTTTTACTACATTGTCCAGACTGCCTTGAATTTGCCATCTTCCTACTTCAGCCTCTCAAGTAGCTGGGATTACAGGGATTTGCCACCACACAGACTAGCCTCAAGTTACTTTTAGTTACTTCTTTTGGGTATGGATTAAGCCGGAAGGAACTCTATTATCTTGCCAATTGAAGCTGGCATGTTTGGGAAGTTTGTTATGTCTCTAACCCAGATTTCTTAGGTCATATGAACTGCTTAGTTTCACTTGGTGACCTGGAACTTTTGGGTGAGTGACTCCATTTTGATTTTTTAGCCCGATGTGCAGCAAGTTAATCTAAAACAATGATCTCGTGTAATTTTACATAACACTTTTTTGAGCACTTATTGTGTGTCAAGATTGTACCAGGTACTTTTAGATCAATTCCCTCACAACAGACCCTTTTATGGATGCAAAAGGTGAGGCCAAGCAATGACATAACTTTCCTAAAATTCTCATCACCCAAATTTGTCCTGTCTCTTAAGCATACTCAGTGCAGTGTTCTACTACTAGGTGTACTGAGCAATGAGCGCCTGGGTTTGCTCTGTGGCTGAGTTGAAACTGGAACTCAAGGCTGACTCCAAAGTTCTTGATATTGATCACCATTTGATGCTGCCTTCCTTTCATAAAACCAGAGGCAACTCTGCTCTATAATTAAAATGGCATTGTCTCCTTCTGGGTGAGGAAAGTGCTTTTTATAGTTTTGGATTATCTGTGTTTACTAGGTTTCTTTCCAATACTTGTTAATTCTGTTTTGCTCTTCATTGTCCTTTCACTGTATTTCTTTCCCGCAAAAGACTATTAACTCTATGAAACCACGAGAGAGGGGGTGCGTGCGCGCGCGCACACACACACACACGCGCGCGCGCGCGCGCGCGCATAGACCGAAGGGCAGGTGGGGGGAGGACCGGACTTGAGTGACCTTGCAAAGGTATCTAGCCCATTAGGGACAGGATTAGCAAGCTTGAAATTACAGATATTTGGCTTCCTCCCCCATTCCTCCCGAAGCTGCTGGCTCTCTCGCGCCCACCTCACCCAGTACTCTTTCAGCTCGATGGTAATACAAAGCTCAACCCGCCTGTCTCCTTTTTGCAAACCCAGAGAACTTCATTCCCCATGTTGAAACTCATTCGTGGCGGTGGCGGGCAGGACTGGGCATGCTCAGTCGCGGGGACAGATCTGGAAAGCGAGGAAGCTGCATTGAAGACGCACGGCCTAGGGATCAGGTGGAGGCGATTGGCGGGGTCCCTGGCTGGGGGTGGGTGGAGGTCCCGAATTCCCTGCCCTGGGCCGGCATGCTCCAGACCCGCGCCGCCGGCCCTGCGCGCGGGGAGCGGGACGCGGAGGAAGTAGGGGAGTCGGCGGGAGGAGGGGAGGAGCGCCTGGCTCACCATCCCCCGGTGCCAGCTCTGCGGCTGCGGAATCGGAAGGCGCAGGGAGGATCTAAGGAAATAAAGACGCCCGAGAATGACCTCCAGGGAGGCCTCCTGAGCCAGAGGCCGCTCGCTGCCCCGTCAGCCCGGGGCATGGGTGACCGCGGAGGGCAGCCGGAACGCTCGGCCCCAGGGGTTTCCGTGAACACAGGCGCCGCCGCCTTGAACGGGCTGCTGCACAACGGCTTCCATCCGCCGCAAGCCTGCAACCGAGCTCCTGCGGGCTGCGGCGACGCGGCGCCCCCACGACCCCCGCTCCTGGCCGAGCTCCAGCCGCAGCCTCTCCACCCTCAGCATGACTCTCCAGCCAAGAAATGCCGGCTGCGGAGGAGGATGGACTCGGGGAAGAAGAACAGGCCGCGTAAGTCCTGCCGGGAGGAAAGCACCGGCGCGAAACAGGCGCAGCGCGCGGGGACTGGGAACAGCGGGGGCAGGCGGCGCAGCGGGTGCACTCCAGCGCCTGCGGTAGTAGGACTGCACGAGGGGGGCTTAGGCCTGATTCATTCTCCAGGCCCCCAAGCACTAAATACCGTTGGCTGAGCCTGCCCCTTGCTGTGGTGGCCACAGAATAGGTCCATTGGACACGGAGCTTGAGCTGATCCTTAAATCAGACTCTGAAAGGCGAACACACTACCCGCCCCTTTAATTGTTCGCTGGGAAAACCCACTTGTGTGAGCATTTGATGAAGTCCGGGAGTGGGGATAGAGTGGGCGGCACAGCCGAGGCTAACTTCTCCCTTCTCAGGGCGCATCTTTTCTGAGGTTACAGCTCTGGCGACCCCCTTGCCCTTTGAATCACAGAGTAACCGCCAGTGTCCTGGGTCTATTGGCGAGCTCAAGTCTGGAGGCGTGGAGTTTGACAACCCCCAAATCACAGCCTTTTAAACACCATTTCTTCGCAGCCAATGAGAAGGCCTGCTAGGGCGGGCACACCCACTGATACCATGTGGGCCGGAACTATGTGGGCCAATGAGGATTGGAGGTGAATTTTTTGGGGGGGAGGGGTAAAGTTAAGTGTAATTGTACAGAGCAGAAAGCCAAAGTGCGTTATTTCACAGTCTAAAGCTCATGTATATATAGTGGTAGTTTGTAAAGGATACCTTCCTCGCCTGACCTTCTGGGATGTAAATTTGTAGTCGACTTTACGACTTTTCTTGTCTGCGCTCAACCTCATTCAACTGGTGGTTACTTCTTTGTGTTTTTAATGAAGCTTATAAATGGCAAAAAGCAAAGTAAGTAGAATGTATGTTAATAAATAATTGCATTCATACATGCACATTTTGCATAAATCATTCTATTTGTTGTGGGGAAATTGTTAAATGGTTTTGGATTTCTCTAAAAGTTTGATATTTGGCATACAGCATAACTCCTTCACTTTTTGCTATTTGTCTTCTTTTTAAAATCTCTTTTTCACTCTTAGCTTTTCTGCACTGAATTAAAATTTCTAAGATCCTGGAAAGCCCTTTGACATAACTAAGTGAATCTAATGCTTGTATTTTTTAAGTCTGAAATGTTAAGGCCGAAAGTTAAGGTTTTGTGCGGCGGTTTGGAACCGCACAGATTTTGGCTACGGTTGTAAGAAAGGCATGTAACACTTGTGTTTTTATGTACATTTTTTGTTATTGTTAGAAAATGACTCTATGGACTTAATGTTAATTACTTATTATTTATTTGCTTTACTTCTTTCGAAACAGCATTTTAGTTATTTCTGTGATCTATACTAACATTGTACCAGAGTTCAGAATGAAGTTAGCTAAACTATAATGAAAGACAGCTATGTTGAGTTTTTGTTTAATATTGCCAACTTGAGTGATCTGTGTTCATTTGAGAATATAACACCTTAAATAATTTTTGAGGAACTGAAAATATAACCTTTAACAATAACTTGAAAGCAAAAACTACCCTGAGCCTTAACTTCTGCTTGCAAACCCATTGGAATTATTATTATTATTATTATTATTATTATTATTATTATTTTGTGGTACTGTTGTCAAACCCAGAGCTTTTGCATTAAGCCACAGCCCCAGACCATTTAATTTTTTTTTTTTTTTTTAATTTTGAGGATTTCGCCGAGTTGCCAGGTTTCCCACAATGGGCTCCAACTTGTGTTCTCCTGCCTTGACCTCCCAGAGTGGTGGGATTAAAGATGCACCACCATGCCTAACAAGAATTATTTTAAAATACAAGAAAATAAAACTTATCTTCCTGTGTGCTTTGTCAGTAAAGTGATTTGTATTTCTAATAAAAATTAAAATCTTAATTCTTCTAAGTGACTTTAATTCTTTTAAGTTTCATCAACATCTTTTTTAATCATCCTACAATTTTTTGCCTCAGATTTGAACAAACATTTTTGAAATAAATTTTTCATGTCTGGAGGAGTCATATCTGCACATTTTACTATTGAACACTCTTAGTTAAAACTGGGTTTAGGGCCGGGGATTTAGCTCAGTGGAGCCTCGCCTGCCTCGAAAGCACAAGGTCCTGAGTTCGATCTCTGGTACCGCAAATGAAATAAAATAAAACTGAGTTTAATATTTTTGTAACTTGCCTATTAACATTCTGATATCTTTTTTATAAAAAATACTGTTCAATCAGTTGATATTTAGGTACACTTAAGAGGAATCTTAGAGTTAAGCATATCTGGGTTTTTTTCCTTTCTTTTTTTTTTTTTTTGAGACAGGCTCTCATTGTGTAGTTCAGCCTCACCTTGAACTCAGCCTGGGCTGGTCTAGAACTCTGGCGATCTTCCTGCCTCAGCTCCCAGGTGCTGGGATTACAGGAATAGACCTCCAAATCCGGCTTCTGTTTTCTGATGACTGACGATTTTATATTAGCAATTAGAGTATTTGGATCCTTTAAATATGGACATTTAGAATATATTGGTGGTGAAGCATCACACTGGATAATTCAGCCCTACTTACCAGTTTATGACAAGAGACACATACTTCTGCCCAAACTGGATGTGTTGTAGGACAAACAGTGATACCACTTTTATTTTTTTTTATTATTATTTTTCCCCCCCATTAAGTTTATTGTTACATTTTCAGTATACAATACAGTTATAGTCATCATTGGGATCTTGTACCGTTACATGAATTTTTTGTTTCTTATTTTTTT